TTTAGAGAATCCCAAGGCTGAAGGCAAGCTCTGCGACATTTCCACAAATGCTACTCTTGTAAGCTATACTTCCGCAAGAAGTTAAAAATAAAGCTATATTAGCTGGGGTTTGAGTGAGTAGTGAGATGAGAATTACCCTTAGAAGATTGTATTAAGGTGCTTTACCCAGATTAAATGGAGAAAAAAAAAAAAAGAAAAAGAAAAAAAAAAGAGCACATTACAACACTTAAAACATACAAAGTACAGCCTTTGCAGTTACACTAGGTAGGATAACAGTTATTAGGGCTATTACCTTCCATGTTACAGATCAGCCGAAGAGGTCAGACACATATTTCTGCCAAGCAGTATATCTCAGCTAGTCAGAAGGAACCATTTTAATCTTCTTTCGGCTAACTCAAATGATATAAGCAATCACTCTGGAATTTAGAGACCAGGTCTGCACGTAAAGAAGAGACGGTGACGTTTATGATACTAGTCGCTGGATTTCTTTGTCTGTTGCCAAAAGTAAATCAAAATGAGGGTGCATACCAAGTGCTAGAGAGAATTGCCTTGAAATAGACCAAGGGATCACACTAAGGATATTAGATATTTAGACCAGAAGTCCAAGTAAGGAAACAGTCTCTTTGTATAATATTTTGGCCCTACAATGGGGCCAAAAAGATAAGGAAGTCTTGCACTCACACATTTTTAAAGGTGGTGACACTAAGAAAAGTCTTCCGTAATTTTTCAGATTAAATTTGCATACTAACATAAGACTCAGAGAAAAGTTAAAAAAGATACACTTAAGATAGATAAAAGATTTTATATTTCTCTAGTATTTATTGTATGGTTTTAATTAAATAACTGAAATGTTCAAACTGGAATTACTGGATTCAACACATCCCAACTTTAGGCAAATTTAGATTAAAACATGGCTATAAATTCCACTTTCCAACCCTCTCCAATAAACATGTCTGCAGCTACTTGTGGGGGTAAATGGTAGGGAGGACTTTAATACAATCCAGCTAAGTTCTCCTGTTGATTGCAGGGAGGAAATACTATCTCTGCAGCAGCAGGAAAATGCAGAAATCAAAATTATAATATAAAAATAGATGTGGCTTAACATACATTTGAGAGAAATGATTTTGTCTTGCAGAAATGTAATAAGAAGTCCTGGCCAGTCTGGGATTTAAATGGTGTCTGCATTTTTCTCTTTCTTATGCATACCCTTTGTGTGATAGGAACACTTATTCAGTTTCACAATAAACAGTTTTATGCTTCTCTGTCCTGCAAGGTCAACTCAGCTTATGAAAATCAAGCTGCTTTCTGTTTGCCTTACCTCATCACGAAAATTCCCAGACAGAACAGAAACTCCAAAACTCATCAAAACGCTATCAGTTAGACTGCAGAGAATTAGAGCTGAATACTAATTTTTATACCTCTATTATGTATACACAAGACAACTATACTTGAGGCTGAAATAAGCAACGTATCTTGAAGGACTCCTGTTTATTCTCTCTTCCCCAAAAGAAGAAAAGGAACAATTCCATCTAATGAAGTGAGAAGGTGAAGGTAGTTTTACTCTGTGAGTGAGTTAGTTAATGAGGCAATATCCTCTTGAATCTTTGAGATAAGCTCTAGGTCAAAAGTAGATAAATTAGCATAACATTCATATTAATATATTTCAGAATCAGATACAGAAACAACCTGCACTCTGAAACCTGCCTAATCACAGACAGCTAATTTTCAAAGGAGTTTTGGCACTCATTATGGTGATGGATGACAGTACTAAAAACATCATTTCCTTGAGATCTGCCACGCTCTGTAGGCACTTCTCTTATGTACTCCATGGATTGTATTTTATATATTTCATAATTTATTTAGATACTCATAAAAGTGCAATAAGGCTCCTTAAAGATATTTTGGCATGCTGCAACAGTGCATTTGAGTACTCACAACACAGACAATCCAACACACTGCTACTATCTAGTACCAGGCAGTTGCAGTGCTGCTATTGTAAAGCTCCTAATTTCATATCACAATGAGAAATACACACTGACATTTGTCTAAACACACTCACTCGTAAAATATTCTTTGCATGATGTAATCGTATTAGTAGTTAAGGACTTAATGAACACATTTACAGACGTATATATACACAAATGTCTGTTTTCATAGCTGTGTAGCCACTGTCAACATGTGCCAACCTGTATGTTATTGGATGTAAATTATAAAATGATATTATTTTCCTTCAAATTAAATTAAACATTGTTATCCGAGGAACCATTGATAACTCTGGATTAACTTTGCTGATGTGGTCTAGTAAAAAGAAAACAAAACTGACAGAGAGAATGCATGGAATATGTTGTAAAAAAGAATAATAATCAGAGTAATTTTAAAAAACAGGGGGCTCTACAACCACTGAGTTATAATGGATTTATTCAATGAGGCAGCTTTAGGCTGCCTGCAATTCTGTGGACTTTATCTGAATTGGTCAATGTAGTGAGCTTAATTGAAGTTGTCATGGTTTTGGCTGGGATATAATTATTTTTTTTTATTTTTTTTTTTTTACCTACTAAACTGTCTTTGCCTCAACCCATGAGTTCTTGCACTTTTACCTTTCTAATTCTCTCCCCTATCCCTTCCGGGGAGAGTGAGTGAGCGGCCATGTACTACTGAGCTGCCCACTGGGGTTAAACCACAACAGAAGTGCATTTCTTATGAGCTCAAAACCCAACGTTCCTGGAGAAATTTCATTTTGAAATATAATATTAATCATCATCAGTAAAAATGAAATGTAGCCCTTTGCCCCATGAGCTTTGGATGAATATGTATTCAGGGCCCCATCCTAGAAGTGTGCTAAGCAACTGTGGAGGCGATGAGCGCACACAGCTTATAACCTACAAGGGAAAATGATGTATTTTGGCATCTTCTGGGTTCAGGCTCCTTTTGATTACAGTAAAAAAAAAAAAAAAAAAAAAAAAAAAAAAAAAAAAAAAAAGAGAAGACGACGAAGGCCTCAGGCAGTGCGTAGTAGCCAAAACCACATAGGCTTGAAAGTAAGAAATGACTGGAGAGTACAACGCAATGGTAGGGCTGACAGCAAGATTTACCCTGGAAGTTACTGGAGCACAAGCTGGCCATTGGCCTACTAGCAGCAGAAACTAGAGATTGAGCCAAGGGAAGGGAGCTCATCTTATCTAACACAAGAGATGACAGCATGTTGGCAGCCTTGGCCACAGACACGACAGCTGTGAGCCAGGTTACAGCTTTCCTTCTCCCACCTCAGGGGCTCCATTCCTGCTCTCGCTTGTGATAGGAACAAAATCTGTAGCACCACGGGTGATATAACAGCCCATGCTACCACAGCATTTGTTACAGCAGTCTCTTCCCTCTCACCACTGGAAATGTCTTTATCACCCAAATACTGGTTTTGCTCATTTTCACAATATTGTTCCTCTTGTGTCATCCTAAGACACCCTTTTTCTGGTTACAGTTTTCTGAACAAGTTCTAGCCTCCCATTAGCTGTTTGTGGCTGTGTAAAGACATAGCATGAAAGACTGAATGAGAGAGTCTTTATGTTCCTTTAAGCATTGTTACACTGGTGAAACTGTCGTTCTTTCCTAAAAAGCTTTCTGTCTCCTGGTATCTTCCTAATCACTCATTGCAAACATGATACTTCAGGTCTCTTACAGCAGCTTTGCAGGCACAAGCTCGAAGATAAGCAGAGAAGTTGTTGGTGACATCCTAGTGTCGATACTTAACAGTCACAAGCACTACTGACAACACAAAGCAGAGAGGCTTAAACTCACTGCAAATTCACTCCATATTCAAAGGCACAAATATTCTGGAAGGATTTTCCCATCATTCAGGGACCAGCTGTATGCTTTGTGTCCTGAGCTTAAGTTGTTATTCCTGGTCATATTCTTTCATTTTACAGTAAGAAGGAATTTAAACCATTACGATGAGATACTGAATTATGTAATTCCTTTACAAACAAAGCACGATCTGCTGGATATGTCAAAGAAGCATAGATATGAATTTAACACAGTATTTTAATTCATCTTTTAAAAACAAACAAACACCTTATTTTTTCCCCATACAGATATGCAGAACAAAGCCTTAAATATAGTGAGCTAAAGAAAATAAACAAACAAAACAACAACAACAACAAAAAAGCACACATTACACATTACCAAGCCAGAAAAATGCAATAGATACCTGCTTTCTCTTTTCTATAAGATTTCTTTATGTCCATGGCATGGGAAAATTGCTTTGTGAAAACCTTTTATTCTCCTCAGATAGTAAATTTTGTCTTGTATTAGAGGGGAACATGTAGCCAGGAGTTTACTATCATTTATCTAGAAAGCTCATAAACATGCCATTACACCGCTGATTCTCTTATACCAAGAACCTTTTTTTCTCCAGTTCATTCCTACCTTGTCCAGCATTTATTTAATAGTACTTGAAAATTTACTCAGATTATGACAGTAGCTTTTAGTTCACGGAACATATTTATGCTTTTCGCCATGTGGATTCTTGATACAAGAAGCAGAGAAGCTTCTTGTAAAACACCACAATTCCCTTGCACAGTTTTTTAGATGACCCTCCCCCCACTCCCAACTTGCCATCATTTTCTTGTTGCCAGTGAACACCTTGTCAATAAAACCTTGAACACCTTGGCTGCTGCTATACTGACACAACAGAATAGGTCAATAAGATTTTCTGGGACAGTTTTTATCACTTTTTTGAACTGGTAAGGCCTATGGAAGGGAATTTTCTGCCCTTGCGCATCATCTGCAACAAGGTAGTTCTCATTCAGAAGAAATAGCATGAGACAATTGCTGTGTGTGGCCTGAATAAATACAGCCAACTCCAGAGACCAAGACTGTGTTGCAACTATCTACTGTGAGTGATGGCTACATCAAACACTATTGTATGTTGATACTACATTGTTTTCTCAGTGCGTGGCAATGTTAAATTTCATAGCTTATTTTAGCCCATACATATAGCAACTTACTGAGTTCACTTCGTTTGACTTCCAAGTTTTACTGCTGATCACAGTTGATGATAGGGTTGCATACGTATTCACTTGCAATCTTAAGTCTTCAACTTCAGTTGATGAAAGCCAGAGAACACAATAAAGGAGAAAAAAAATGTTTTAAAGGTTGGAATATTTTTTTTGTCCCTGTCTTTACAGTATGCTTCATTTTGAATCTTTAAACATTATAGATTCACAAGCATTATGCAAAGCATTATGAAGATAATCGGCGCAATGGGGATTCAATATTTAATGAAAGTAACTCTTGTTTTTAATTATAGCATTTAAGATCATCTTATTGTCAAGTGGAATACAGACTTGCTTTTTGTGATTTGGCATCCATGATTCCACTATATTTATAAAATATCACACCACCCTCTCCTATAATAACCTAGATCATTTCCCAGATTTCCAGATAACTGGCTATGTGTTATATACATTGTGCAGATACAAAGGGAGCTTTCCAAAACTGGAACTGAATAGCAAATAGTTCAGAGGCATTATCCAAGCATCCTAGTGGAAAATATTTTAACATGCTTCAAATGAATGAGGGCAGGAGATCGGTTTTAGATGTCTTACTCCAAGTTGTTTTCCCCTCTTTGCATTTTCTTCCTCTTTAAAGTATGTTCTGCAAGACTAAAGCAACCCCAAAGCTAAACTATTTGGAGCAGACAATTTGGCTGCAGGTAATTTATTTTCACACATTTTTTTTTCCTTTTAATATTTTCAATGGTTTCATTTATATTATAGTAAATATTTTTCCCACAAGTAAAGAACACAATATTTGACTAGAGATTTCCATGTTCTTGCAAGAGAGACTACCAAACAAAAGGATAAAAACTATGATTAACAAAATGTTCCAAATCTTGTTTGCATACAGATATGCACTACACCTCAGCAACGACAAAAACTAATTGTATCCAGACACATGCATTTCAAGACTGAAAAAAAAAAATAAAATAAAAATAAACCCACAAAAAACATAATTGCTGTGTTTAATGTTTGTATCTTTTGTGTATATGTTAACCATATTTGCAATTTGCTAAGCTATTTGCCTGATGGTATTATTATAAATCTATGAAATCCATCCTTTGAACAGATGGTGCTATAAAACACAATTGTAGCTGGGAAGAGGTGTTTGAAGACATAACATGTGTGTAGGCATGCATGTGATGACACCTAGAAGACCACAAAAGCTTTGTAAAACAGATAAGCACACCAGTTGGGATGCCTAGTTTCCCAGGACGGCTGGTAGGTATGTCATTTTCAGAATATCAGATGCCATCTTTGCAATGCTTGTAAAATAATACCCATTGGGTGCAGGAGTAAAGATTTCCACTGGAACCTCAGCAGTTTTTATTATTATTATTATTTTATTTTATTTTTATTTTTTTCTGAAAGCTGTATTTCCTATGTATTTTCCTATGTGTATTCCCTATGGATGATCTGTTTCAGCAAGAAAGAGATAAACAATGTGTCATGTTATTTAGTTTCTCTGCATTTTCAGATGAATTCTTCCTCTTTTATGGAAGAAACTGTTATTGGTATAAGAACCCTACAAATGTTTAAACAGTTCTTTTCACCATAGTAGTAGCAATATTTATTTAGTAATATTTTGAAGCTATGTTTTTCATGCAAATATGCAACAGAAATAATAAAAAGTCAATAGTATATTATTTAACCCAATATAGAGCTGGCTCCAAGTGCTGAAAATCCTACCACATGTTGGCGTAGCTCAAGGAGAGCAAATTTGCAATGAATGATGATAATTTGCACTGAAAGAAATTAGTGCCAATTTTGATTAGGAATTAACCTTCTGTTCAAATTTTAGCAGAGTAATGTATTCATTCCTGGTTAGAACATAAGCTGTGCTGAAAGGGTGACAGAAAAGCCAATGGACAAAGGGAAATAAAAAGTAAAAAAAGATTTAAGAACTATTTATCTAGTTCAGCAATGAAGTAACTAACACAGTTCAAACAAAGAAATCACAAACAAAGAAGCTTAAAAGCAGCTTATGATGGTACCCAGCCTTTGCTTAGGCAGGGACTCCCACTGTTCTGTTTTTAGAAGTACATTGTTCGTGTTCTTCTCTTTGCATCTATTTACATCCATATTTCTCAGTTTTAGAGGAAGGTAGAAAGGTTACCATTTTGTTACTTCCTGAAAGGAGAGTAACACTTGAGAAAATATATCATTTCACAGAATCACAGAATCGGCTAGGTTGGAAGAGACCTCCAAGAACACTGAGTCCAGTCTCTGGCCTAACACTAACAAGTCCTCCACTAAACCATATCACTAAGCTCTACATCTAAACGTCTTTTAAAGACCTCCAGGGATGGTGACTCCACCACTTCCCTGGACAGCCCATTTCAATGCCTAACAACCCTTTCGGTAAAGAAGTTTTTCCTAATATCCAACCTAAACCTCCCCTGGTGCAAATTTAACCCATTCTCCCTTGTTCTGTCACCAGGCACATGGGAAAATAGACCAACCCTCACCTCACTACAGCCTCCTTTAATGTACCTATAGAGAGTGATAAGGTTGCCCCTGAGCCTCCTCTTCTCCAGGCTGAACAATCCCAGCTCTCTCAGCTGCTCCTTGTAAGGCTTGTTCTCCAAACCCCTCACCAGCTTCGTCGCCCTTCTCTAGACTTGCTCGAACACCTCCATGTCCTTCTTGTAGCGAGGGGCCCCAAAACTGAACACAGTACTCGAGGTGTGGCCTCACCAGAGGCAAGTACAGGGGGCCAATCACTTCCCTAGCCCTGCTGGCCACACTGCTTCTGATACAAGCCAGGATGCTGTTGGCCTTCTTGGCCACCTGAGCACACTGCTAGCTCATATTCAGCCAACTATCAACCAATACTCCCGGATCCTTCTCCACCAGGCAGCTTTCCAACCATTCATCTCCCAGCCTGTAGCGCTGCTTGGGGTTGTTGTGCCCCATGTGCAGGACCCAGCACTTGGCCTTGTTGAACTTCATACAGTTGGCCTCAGCCCATAGGTCCAGCCTATCCAGATCCTCCTGCAGAGCCTTCCTACCCTTGAGCAGATTGACACATGCACCTAACTTGGTGTCATCTGTGAACTTACTGAGGGTACACTCGATCCCCTCATCTACATCATCGATAAAGATATTAAAGAGGACTGGCCCCAGTACAGAGCCCTGGGGGGCACCACTAGTGACTGTCCTCCAACTGGATTTGACTCCATTCATAACTCTTTGGGCCCGGCTATCCAGCCAGTTTTTAACTCAACGAAGTGTACGCCAGTCCAAGCCATGAGCAGACAGTTTCCTGAAAAGAATGTTGTGGGGAAGGGTGTCAAAAACCTTACTGAAGTCAAGGTAGACCACATCCACAGCCTTTCCCTCATCCACCCAGCACGTCACTTTATCATAGAAGGAGATCAGGTTCATCAAGCAGGACCTGCCTTTTGAAAACCCATGCTGACTGGGCCTGATCACCTGCTTGCCCTGTAAGTGCTGTGTGATGACACTCAAGATAATCTGCTCCATGAGCTTCCCTGTCACTGAGCTCAAACTAACAGGCCTATAGTTCCCTGAGTCTACCCCCCAGCCCTTCTTCTAGATGGGCATCACATTTGCTAGCTGCCAGTCAACTGGGACCTCACCCAATAGCCAGGACTGCCCATGGAAAGCAGCTTGGCCTGCTTCTCCACCAGTTCTCTCAGTATCCTCAGGTGAATCCCATGTGGCCCCATTGACTTGCTTACATTCAAGTGCCGTAGCAGGTTGCCAACCTCATGGATTATGAGGGCCACATTCTGTTCCCCATCCCCTTCAAACAGTTCTGGATACCGGGTAACCAGAAAACAATTGCTCTTGCTGCTAAAGACTGAGGTAAAGAAGACATTAAGCAGCTCCGCCTTTTCCTCATCTCTCATTACTACATTTCCCCCCGCATCCAGTAAAGAATGGAGATTCTCCTTAGTCCTCCTTTTTGTGTTGATGTATTTGTAAAAACATTTTTTTGTTATCTTTGATGGCAGTAGCCAGATTGAGCTCCAGAAGACCTTTGGCCTTTCTAATTTTGTCCCTGCACCGCCTCACAACATCGTTATAGTCCTCCTCAGTGGCCTGTCCATTTTTCCAAAGATTATAAACCCTCTTTTTCCTCCTAAGCTCAAGCCACAACTCTCTGTTCAGCTAGGCTGGTCTTCTTCCATACCAGCTCGTCTTTGGGCACATGGGGACAGACCGCTCCTGTGCCATTAAGATTTCCTTCTTGAAGAGTGCCCAGCCTTCCTGGACTCCTCTGCCCTTCAGAACCACCTCCCAAAGGACTCTACCAACCAGTGTCCTGAACAGCTCAAAGTCTGCCCTGCAGAAGTCCAAGACAGCAGTTTTACTGATCCCCCTTCTGACTTTGCCAAGAAAAGAGAACTCTACCATTTTGTGGTCACTCTGCCCAAGACAGCTCCTGACCAACACATCTTGCACCAGTCCTTCTCTGTATGTGAAGAGAAGGTCTAGTGAGGCACCTCCCCTGGTAGGCTCACTAACCAGCTGCGTCAGGAAGCTATCTTCCACGCTCTCCAGAAACCTCCTAAACTGCTTTCTCTGGGCTGTGTTGTGCTTCCAGGATATGTCTGGGAAGTTGAAGTCTCTCACAAGAACAAACACTGATGATTTTGCAACTTCTTCCAGCTGCCTGTAGTATTCCTTATCCATCTCCTCATCCTGGTTCAGTGGTCTATAACAGACCCCTACCAGGATGCTTGCCTTGTTGGCCTTCCCCCTGATCCTAACCAAAAGGACTCAAGCTTATCATTCCTAGCCTCAAGTTCCACGACATCAAAACTCTCTCTGATATAGAGAGCCACACCACCACCCCTTCTGTGCTGCCTGTCCCTTCTGAAGAGCTTATAGCCAGACATTGCAGCACTCCAGTCATGAGAGTGGCCCCACCATTTTTCTGTGATGGCAACCAAGTTGTAGCCTGCCTGCCGCACGATGGCTTCCAGCTCCTCTTGTTTGTTACCCATACTGCATGCATGGGCCACTGCCTTCTCCTCTGGACTTGACATTGTTTCCCCTAGCACACCTCCAA